AAACGTTTCTGATTGGATTGAAATTGGAGGTTCTGCCTATAGTTTGCAATTCGAGCTTCATATCTACTGATTTTCCTGGCTATAGCTGTTATTTGTTGCTTTATTATTTCCAGTGCTTCCTTGATCTTCCTTGTTTCTAAGTGGTATTTCTTGATTAGGTATTCTTTGGTCTTCTTGTTCTTCAGCTTCTTTTCTTTCATCTGTTCTAGCTTGCTTGCATGTGATCTTAACTTGCTGATCTTATTTTCTAGTCTAACCTTCCATTTTTGTGGTGCACTGTTTGTTTGTTTTTCTTCTTTGTTGATTTTGCATCCCAGGTATTCAGTTATAACTGCAGCTGTGCTGTACATTAGTTGGTTTGTTTCTTGCAGTGAATTGGTGCTTATACTTGCTATTGCAGTATTTGCATCTTTTAATGCTTGTGCTAGCTGTTTCTTTGAAACAAGCTTCAATGCAGGCAGCCTTATTCTGTTGTTTTTGTGCTGTTCTAGATGCTCAGTTATTCTTTGTTTCAATTCTTTTATTTCTTTAGTTAGAGGGTTTTGTTCTTCCTGAGGAAGAGGTGCCTGGTTTCCAAATGAGAACAGTTGTATATCTCTACTGGATTCTTTCACGGCCAACTCCCCCTGGTTTGCCTCTACATTCTGAATTACTTCTTGTAAGGGTTTGATTTATTTGCCCTGGGTAAACCTTTGCAGTTCGTCCAATTCTGTTTCTGTAAATACTTTATTTCGTATTATAAATCAGCGTTGATCTGCTAGTCTCTGTTCTGTTATTTCTGATCCTGGATATTGTTCTTTCCAGAACTGGTGCATTCGTTTTAGATATCCTCGTCTTGTAGGACTTGATCTGTAGTAACAGATCATTATTTCTTTGTTTTCCATCACTGTGTATCTGCGATGGGTAAACACCTTTTCTTCCAGTAGTTCTGCAGCTGCTGGCCCTGGTTGCTCAGCCAACAGTCCTGAGTCCTGTAACCCATTTTTCACCAGATATCCAGGAACTCCAATATCTAGCGCGGACCTTGTTAACCCGGGCGACATCCGAGCCGGTATGGCATTCTGAAATTTACGTCTCATCATATTTTTTATGGGAGAGACACTCTTTGTCTGACTCCTCTGATGAGACCTGTCCAGTATGGTTGAACCTCTGGCATAGCTCTCATCTTCCTCAGAGTACACAAGCCCCACAACCACGTCAAGGTAGTGCCTCACTGGGGGATTATTATTATTATTATTATTATTATTATTATTAATCATCGCACAGTCGGCCAGATGTTCAGACTGGATTTGGCATTTTGTCTACCTATCGAGTCCTTACCCATGACCTGAGATAGGCAGATGTGAATGTTTGATGGTATTACAGATATCATCACAGGATGGAAGCAGCACCTAATAAGGCCGCCTTTTGCAATTGACTAATGGCAAATTTGTCAATGCCAATGGTGATGATGATGATAATAATAATAATAATAATAATAATAATAATAATAATAATAATAACAACCCCCAGTGAGGCACTACCTTGACGTGGTTGTGGGGCTTGTGTACTCTGAGGAAGATGAGAGCTATGCCAGAGGTTCAACCATACTGGACAGGTCTCATCAGAGGAGTCAGACAAAGAGTGTCTCTCCCATACAAAATATGGTGAGACGTAAATTGCAGAATGCCATACCGGCTCGGATGTCGCCCGGGTTAACAAGGTCCGCGCTAGATATTGGAGTTCCTGGATATCTGGTGAATTCCTTCAATGATATGCTATCGATGAAGTAGAAGAGAAACATATCTATTTTTATAAATAGAGATAGGCATATGTATCTCCAGTTCTAGAGTAAGTAAGATGACCTGGATTAGATATGCAGGCTCTGTTTTGCCTGGGCAAAAGGGAAGAAGAAGTGTTTTTTTAAAAACATGAGAGCAATGAAATAATTCAAGACTAGCTCAGGTCAACACCTACAGTAGTGGCCAAAATTGTAGCAACCTTTTGGGAAAAGTGTACAGTAGAAATGACACCTTTGGTTAAGTTTCCATCAATTTTTCTTCTAATTTCTTTATAACTGTAGCCTTGTTCACTTAATAATGCTACCGTATTTTACATCACTTTCTAGGCAACCAGTCAATTCTTTGGACCATTAATTTTATTGTTTTACAAGCTCACTAAATGAAAGAACACAAAAAATCCCAACCAACTTGATAGCGATCACATAATACACTGATGATGTCCTCCTCTCAGTTTCAATACATGACATCAGTAACTGAATCCTACTGTGATCTGATCGGCTCATTGACAAAATAAGATGACACCTGATTGGCTCTCTAAACACTCATGTTCATTGGATACAATCAGATCAAGGAAAGCTACCTGATATCAACCTAAGCAAGTTATGCTTCCTTTTTCTGGTTATTTGGCTATACCTTTTCATAAAATATAGTACAGATAATTGAACAAACTTTGTCGCATTACATTCTTGATTAAATTATCGTTCCGTTGATATATAATTTTATGGTACTACTCAAAAAAAGTGGTATTATTAGCCATCAAACCTCAAAAATACACTTTTCCCAAAAGGTTGCCACAATTTTGGCCACAACTGTAATTCAGGGAGGAGGGACAGCACAAACAGCAGTGCATGTTTCTGTTATTACAGCCAGATTCAATAACTTTAATAGTAGCTTTCCTGCAGAGATGGTTTACTGGTCAGTTCTACCCAGGGTTTTTTTTCTCATAGAACGCCCAGAATGGAGTTCCGGCACTTTTTTGGATGGAACCTTGTAGGGTAGGCAAGGCAGGTTATATGACATGTGTGAGTTCCAGCACCTTTTTTTTTTTTTTTTTTTTTTACAAAAAAAGCACTGGTTCTACCTCATCAGACTGACTAATACATCCTAAGTAGCATAGCTAGCACCTAGTGAAGGTGGGACCTGTCCACACAATAAAAACTGCAAACTACATTTTTGTGAAACAAAGAGTTAACATTTGATCAAAAAAAAGTGAAATGCTAGATACAACAATTCCATTAAAACTCTGCCAAAATTTTGGCTGCACTGATATAGCTGCCATTTTAATTCTTGCCCATGCCTTGAAGACGTTAATCTTGAAGCTGTTCTGAAAAGATTGGGAGAAAGAAAATTAGAGCGGGCCAAACTCCCCAAGACAACATTTCTGTCCCTCCATTCCATGGTTAAAACTCTGTTTGAAAGATATTTTTGACCCCACCATGTCCCTCCAAAGATTTGCATGTCCAGCTAGAGGTTACCACGAGCTCCCTTTGCTTTCTCTGTCGTACTGAGGCCAACTTTTTAGAGCAATTCTGGAAGGTCACAGACTTACAAGACTTTCATAACACTTTTCCTGATAACTGTGTTCAAATTCACGGCAAAGGAACATGAAATGATATGAAAAACTGATGGTGATACTGGAAGACAGGAATATGATGCCAATACCAGCTGGTACAGCACTTATCACATTCATTGCCAGCGCACCTTGCACCTAGGAGGAATAAAATAAATTAATAAATGTACAAAAATGGGCGCACGCATATGAAGAGATTCAGCTGGCTTTGTGCTCTGAATTTGCTTCAGACTTTTACTCTCTACACCAGGGGTTCCCAACTGGGGATGCTTGCACCCCCTGGGGGTGCAAGATGATATTCCAGAGGGTACGAAAACCTGGGTTTAGAAGTTTCAAAATTATAGTGTGTATGCACCATTTTTTGTAAGGGGTGCGAGAATATATCAGAAGCGTTCTAGGGGTGCGGGGTATAGAACTGCTGCTCTACACCCTCAGGTATGGCTGAATTCCCTTCATGTTGTTCTTAAGTAGTGCAACTGCCTCATCTAATCAGAATATTCAGTTGGAGATTGAGACAAAGAACCTCTTTGCCAAATGTTAGCATAAAATGACCCACAAAACACCTGGAGTTTCCAAAAAGGGAATCCAGGACAAGAATTTGGAGTGGAGAGGCTCTTAAACAACAAGCCAGAATCATCATGATGCACCAATAGATGTTAATGATCCAGGAACATCATAAATCCACCAAGCTCCAGATTGGCAATCCAGGAGCTTGTAGCTCTCCAGGGCTTCAGATGAGAGGTTTTTTTTCCCAACCTTTCTTGAAGAAGGGGGAGATCATGGCCAGGATCCCAGAGATGGAGGGTTTCTGATTTAGCTATGTCGTTCACTTGGGTCACATGGGTTAATTACCAGAGGGATCTTGGGATTCCGAGCAGCTGCCACAGCTAAGGATCCAGAGATGATGTACTGGAAGAGAAAGAAAAGCAAGGGAATCACAATGGCTACATGCCCAGAGAACAATGTAGATCCATAATTTCTCTCTCTCCCACCTTAAATTCCTGCCTACTGTTCTCTGATTATCTGTTGTGCTGAAACTCAATCAACGTTCCCTATTCCAGTTGAAGATGCAGCTGATTTGAGGCATTAAAGAAGGAGCTACAGTCACAGGCATTTTACTTTATGTAGCACTGCAGTAGTATTCAGCATTTTCCCCATGTTGTTATGGCAAGGACACAGCTCTCCAGCGGCTGTGAACAACTCTCAGACTCAGGAGTCAAGTTGAATGAAACCACTAGGAAATGTAGCCCTGAATGGCAACTGATATTCAGAGTGATTATCTGGGAAGTCCCCACCCACCAAAATTGAGTTGGGCAACTTGGTGCAGTTATTAAGTGTTATGTGACATGACTGTGTTGACTTATACTGACAGTTCCAGATGCAGTAATAGAGCAAATCAAATAAGTCATTAAGCACAAATTCACATGGATGTGACTTGCAACCTGTTGCGACCGTAGCTTCCCCATTGATTTAACTTGTCAGAAGCTGATGATGAAGGCTGCAAATGGTGATTTGATGACCACGGGATGCTAAAGCCACTGTAAATGCACACCAGTCGCCAAGCAACCAAATTGCAATCGTGGGGACATTGAAGATACTTTGATGGACAGATGTTTGAAAACCGGTTCCCCCCCCCCACACACACACATTGTGATTTGAAATGATCACTGAATGAGCTGGTTGATAAGTGAGGAAAGAGAGTCAATATAATAACTTCTATTAAGGTTTGTAATCTCTCAGTTTAGCGGTTTTCTGAAATCTGGAGAACAGACATAAGCCACAAAATGGAACTAGCCAATCTGCTGAACTATCTTTCAGGTAAGACCGGTTTGCCCTGAGGCTGCTGTGATGTGCGTTTGGATCCCTGGTTGGGCTGTTAACCTTTTTAAACACAGCATTATATAAAATTACCAAAATGCCGCTCCAATAAGCGATCTTTATAACACTATAGATGATGAAATAATCATTCATTATATCAAGCAGGATCCCAAAAATCATTCCTATGATTCCTATGAATATCTGTGTGATCTGGAAAAGAGAGAGAGAGAAATCACAAGATCAGTGATAGTCAGGAGTTGAGAACCAACAAAATTCCAAATGTCCCTGAACCAGGATTTTTTTGTTGTTTTAATTTTATTTTTCTAGGCCTCAAGCTCACCTCAAGACCACCTTAAGGGGGAGAGGGTATATACTTCTTAGCTGCTACATTAGCTGGCCAATAAAACAAATGGATCAAGAATATTCATACAGTATGTGCAGTATATAGCAAAGTATCCTCCTAGTCCTATTGCAACAGAACAGGGGACCCGGGGATTTGCAAAACATGAGGAGGAATCGTCATTCCATTTCTCTCCATACTCACCCCCAGGGCCAGAGGTTCACCCTGATAAAATTTCTTCAATGGGACTGGAAGATCAGTCTGAGTGGTGGAAGGCAAGGACCCTGGGACTAGAGGAGCATGCATGCTGGGCTTTGCAAGAAGGGCGGCTCCTTTAGGTCAGCAAAGTCAGCAATGCTGGGGACCATAGAAAGGAAGGAAAAAGAGAGAGAATGTAGAAAAGACATGATCCAATCTTTTAATTCCCATTCTCAATTTTGACTTTGTATGCATTTGTCCTTAAGGCTTGGTCTTGTGCAGCCAGAATTAGTCCCTCGGTCTCTTTCTTCAACTTTCCTGCTCTTTAACCCATTGCCAGGTCTTGTTAGTCTCTGCTTTCCCAGCTATTTTTTTTAATGTACTGGCCATGTAGTGCTTTGTGTTCCCATGCCTCCATTCTGTTCTTCATTTGGTCTCTTGTAGGCCTGTTTGGTCTCTTATTATTATTAGTTTTAGTATTAGTAGTATTAGTATTATTAGTATTGTTTTTACTGTTATTATATTACTATTATGATTATTAATAAGGTGACCAACCGTCCTCCTTTTGGAAGGACAGGCCTCCTTTTTTAAGTTCTGTCCTCCCTCAAAAAGTGTCCTCCTAAATGTCCTCCTTTTTCATATACCGTCCTCCTTTTGGGAGGACAGTTCTCCTTTTGTGAGTTCTGTCCTCACTTGAAAATGTCCTCCTAAATGTCCTCTTTTTTTATATTTGAAGACTTATCTGCAGGGCTTTTTTTTCCTCATAGAATGCCCAGAAGGCGTTCCGGGACCTTTTTTTGATGGGTTTTTTTTCAACTTTTGCCTGAGCTGTGCTACTCTCCCTACTGGCTTTCGAAAGCCAATAAGAATTGCTGCTGAGTGCGCCAAAACACCCAGGTGGCAAACTTTGCACATGCAAGTTGCAGGAACTTTGCGCCCCTCACTGCTACCCAACTACACCATCTCTTACTTAGTTCCGCAGATAGCTGGAGAAGACTGGAGCGGTAAGTTTCTCTTGATCTTCCCTGTTCGGTTCTACACGGGGATGCACAGGGTAGGAGGTGGTGCTGGGGGGTGGCTGCAGGGCCGGAGCCAGCGTGCCTGGTGCTTTGCAAGCCGCGGGTCCGGCTCTATGGGGATGCGCAGGATGGGCAGTGGTGCTGGGGGGTGGCTGGGGGGACAGCTGCAGGGCCGGAGCTGGAGCAGCTGGTGCTTTGCCTTTGCGAGCCATGGGGCCAGCTCTATGGGGATGCGCAGGGTAGGCGGTGGTGCTGGGGGGCAACTGGGGGGGCAGCTGCAAGGCCGGAGCTGGTACGGCTGGTGCTTTGCCTTTGCGAGCCGTAGGGCCGGCTCTATGGGGATGTGCAGGGTGGGCGGTTGTGCTGGGGGGCAGCTCAGGGCTGGAGCTGGCTCGGCTGGTGCTTTGCGAGCCGCGGGGCTGGCTCTCCACAGCAGGGCAGCGGTGCTGGCGGGACGGCTGTGGGCGGGGGTGCGGCGGCAGTTGACCTTCCATGGGCCGCGCCAGCTGGTGGTCTATGCAGTGCTGACCTGTGCTGCCACCACCTCACCCTGCGCATCTACGTGGCCATCCTGGAGCGCCTGGCTCACAACACCTGCGTCCGCCGCCCACCCCCGCGCAGTCCAGCCGTGTAGATTTTTGGAGAAGTGAGAAATCGAGATTGAATGTTGATATTCTAGCTGTAGCACTTGCTGTAAAATTCAATATGAGGGATATTTCTTGTTCAGATATTTCCAATATATTGTTAGAAGATGATACATTGACAAAAAATATTCATTCAATGGAAAAGTACTCATTTAAATAATTAATAGGCATGTAAGCATAATTACAATATAAAATGTTATTGTTACAAATGTTTTTATTATGCATTGATCATATTATAGTGTATTCTGTATTATTGTTGCAATAAATACAATGTTTCTTTTATTTACGATATTTTTTTCTTCAATTTATTCGTGTCCTCCTTTTTGTTGTAAAAAAGTTGGTCACCTTATTATTAATCATCACACAGTCAGCTAGATGATCAGTCTGGAGTTGACATTTTTGTCTACCTATCAAATCCTTACCAAGGACTTGGGATAGGCAGATGTGGATGTTTGAATTGATGGTATTACAGATATTGTCGCAGGATGGAAGCAGTTCCTAGTAAGGCTGCCTTTTGCAATTGACTAATGGCGAATTTGTCAATGCCAATGGTGTTCAAGTGGTGCTCCAGCTGTTTTCGGATTGCACCTAAGGCGCCTATTACCATTGGCACTGACAAATTCACTATTATTATTATCATCATCATCAATCATTATTATTATTGCGTCTTTCACGAAATGGCAAGACACGAGAAGCAGTTGTAGTTCTCAGGAACTCTTTATTCTTTAGTTCAGCTTACAGTTGGAAGACGCCGGCAACGCCCAAAACTCTCGGCCTCTTTTATAGGCCTTTCTCAGGTCAATCTGCAACTTTTGGCGCGCCAGCACTTGCGCATGCGCACAAGTATTGGCGACAGCCTGCCTGGTCCCGGGCAGCTTGCACCTGCCCGGGACCATTTGCAATGCCCCGAGCCTGCTTGCACAGGCTCGGGACATAACACCCCTTCCCCCTGGGCTAAAACTATTACCCATGCCATAATAATACATAACTCATTTTTTTAGTGTAGTGCCATGTTCTCCAATACCAGGTAATCCCCGTTTTCCATCGACTTCAGTGCTCTACTTTTCTACTAGCTCTGTTTTGCCAATAGGGTTACAAAATCCTCTAAATACTTAGGAGATTTCCTTGCTCTCTGTGACCTCCTAGGTTCTGGGTACCTGCCAAGTACCGCCTGGCCTGCTTGCTTGCCCACCGGGCTCGTCAGGCCAGGGCTTCTTTCTCTGTGTAACCTGGTTGTCCCGCCTATCTGTAGGCTCTCTGGCCCTTCTAAGTGACTGTCACTGTTGGGCATTTCTGTAGAACCTCCTAGGTCCGTCCAAGACCCGTCAGGAGGCTGTCTGTCCCCTGAATCCCGTTCTGTGTCCGGGCTTGTGTGGGTTTCAGTACTGTCCCAAAACTCAGTTGTCCCCTGAGTGAAGTCAGAGGTGTTGTAGTCGGGATTTGGTTCCTCGACAACCTCCCTGTGTGTTTGCCCCCTTCTAGGGATAGGGGTAGAGTCGGGCCAACTAGAAGGAGTGTGTGCCAGCTCTCTTGCAGGGTATGGATTGTTGGGATGCTCCCAGGTATTCTCTCTGACTGGAGTACTGCGTGATGCGGGTGAGTAGTGATTATGCCCCCGGGGTGACTCCCTGGCTGGAGTAGGCATTGATGCCTGGCTTCTAGTTGGGCTCCATGACTTCCTGTTGGGAGCACTTGCGGAATCTTGAGATGAGCTGTGTGTAGCTTCCCCATTGATAATGGGCATCAGCCCATGCCCCTCCCTTTGCCCAAAGGGTTCCCCCTCCCCCCCTGGAAAAGACCCAGGAGTCTCAGCGGGAAGGTCCCGTCTAGGGTGAAGTTGGTCGATGTGCCGACGCAGGACACGACCGTTGTCCAGGGACACCTCGTAAGACAGAGGACCTGTGACCCTGGATATAGAAGCGGGGACCCATGTATGACCAGGCCCGTAATTACGAGTCCAAACCGGGGCACCCACAAGTAGTTGCCTAGGTGCCCTGGGGTGTGAGACAGAAGGAGGCAGTCTGTCCGGATGCAACCGGTCAAGCTTGGTAGTCAGTTTGCGCCCCCAACGAAGTTCAGCTGGGCTTCTCCCTGTAGAAGTGGACGGTGTGGTGCGATAAGAAAGGAGGAAGTCAGCCAACCTGTGATGCCAGTCTCCGTAGGTAAGTTTCTTCAAGGCGTCCTTGGTGATGCGAACCATGCGTTCAGCCATACCATTAGTGGACGGGTGGAAAGGTGCAGAGGTGGCATGACGAATCATGTTAGCCTGCAAGAAAGCTTGGAATTCGGAGGAAGTGAATTGAGGGCCGTTGTCAGACACAATGACGTCTGGGAGCCCGTGTGCAGCAAAAATCCCCCTCAGTACCTGAATAGTCTTTGCAGTGGTGGTGGAAGAGACAGGTACAACCTCAAGCCATTTTGAATGGCTGTCAACGAGGACCAAGAAGAATTGACCCTGAAAGGGCCCAGCGTAGTCAATGTGCACCCTAGACCATGGAGACTGTGTTTCCTCCCATCTATGTACAGGAGCTTGGGGCATTTCAGGGTGCGAGCGTTGACAAAGGTGACATGCATGCACCTTAGTTTCAATGTCTTTGTCTAGGCCAGGCCACCACAAGTGGCTGTGCGCAAGAGCCTTCATTCGTACAATGCCAGGATGACCCTCGTGGAGGGAACCTAAGACCCTAGTCCTCATTGAGGTGGGAATGACAACTCTGCTTCCCCAAAGCAGACAACCCTGAGAGGTGGACAACTCGTTCCTTTTAGACCAGAAACTCTGAAACTCAGGACCAGGACAGTGCTCAGGCCATCCAGACAAAACCCAAGAAAGGACACGTGAAAGTGTGTGATCTGTGCCTGATTCAGCGGCTACATCCCTGGCATTCAGAGGGGACTCGGGCAAGGCTTGGATAGAAAGAAGATTGATAGCTGGCTCAGGGTCAGCTTCTATTACCGGCAGGGGTAATCTACTGAGGCCATCAGCATGGCCCATTTCCTTCCCAGCCTTGTGAAGTAGGGAAAAATCATATGCAGACAAAAAGATAGACCACCTGAGCATCCTGGGGGAGATGATTTGGGGGGTTTGCTTACGTGTGATAAACAGTCCCAGCAAAGGCTTATGGTCAGTGAAGACCATGAAATGCCTACCATATAAAAAATCATGGAATTTTTTAATCCCAGCAACAACAGCTAAGGCCTCCCTGTCTATTTGAGCATAATTACGCTCAGCAGAAGACAATGTTCTGGAGTAATATGCAACAGGAACCTGAGTTCCATCAGACCTGAGGTGGCTCAGTACAGCTCCTACCCCATAAGGGGAAGCATCACAAGCGATGCACGCAGGAAGGGATTCATTGAAATGTGCAAGTACACTGTTAGAAGTGAGTAAGGCCTTGACCTCATTGAAACTTGCCTCATGTATTTGTGACCACTGCCACACTGCCTGTTTATCCAATAGCCTGTGAAGAGGCTCAGCTACACTAGCCTTATGTGGGAGAAAGGAATTGTAGAAGTTCAGAAGGCCCAGAAAAGCCTGTAGTTCGGCCTTAGACTTTGGCCTAGGGGCTTGCATAATGGCTTTTAGTTTGGACTCAGCAGGGTGAATCCCAGCAACATCAATTTTGAACCCCAGAAATTCAGTAGAAGGCACCCCAATTTTGCATTTGTCCTTCTTAAGTTTGAGGCCTGTTTTCCTGAACCTTAACAGGACAGCCCTTAGCCTTTCAGCTAAAATGTGTGTGGAGTCTCCTGCAATTAAGACATCATCAAAATAGGGGCAAACCCCTGGTATACCCCGTAGTGTGTTTTCCATTACGCTTTGGAAAATCCCAGGAGCGACATTTACTCCAAATTGTAGCCTCTTTACCTTGAAAGCCCCTCTGTGGGTCACAATGGTCTGAGCTATAGCAGCTTCATCATCAACAGGCAGCTGTTGATATGCCTGAGCTAGGTCAAGCTTTGCAAAAACACGCCCCCCCTTGAGGGAGGCCAGGATATGACTGACCACAGGAACAGGATAGGCATGTTGCTGCAATGCCTTATTCAGAGTGCATTTGTAATCAGCACAGATGCGAATGTCCCCATTTGCCTTGAGAGGCGTGACAATGGGGGTCTCCCAGGGACTGGAGTCAACAGGTTCTAGAATTCCTTGTTGGATCAGTTTATCCAACTCAGTGTCAATTTTACTCTTTAAAGCAAAAGGGACCCTTCTTGCTTTAATTCTAATGGGAGTGACAGTGGGGTCTAGCTTTAATGACACAGGGGGTCCTTTGAATGCACCCAGCTGGGGGCTGAAAACATCTGCAAATTCTTTGCAGACTTCCTGTAGGTCAAGTGTTTGTAGGCTGTTGAGCCCTGTGACGTGTATCCCCAAGGCCTCAAACCAATCGAGTCCTATGAGACTCGTTCGTTCACCCCCTACTACTAATAGGTCTAGTGGACCCTCAAAATCCTTATACTGTACGTTAAGGGTGGCCTCCCCCTTAACACACACTCTGGAGTTTTGAAAGTCTGTTAGCACAATGTCAGAAGGCCTCAACTTGGCCTGGGTTCCACTGCCGGAACAAATCTTCCTAAATGTATGCATAGAAATGATCGAAAGTGCAGACCCCATGTCCAGTTCCATAGTTAATGGAACCCCTTGTAGCTTCACCTTAAGTGACAGCTTTTTCTTAATGGGCTTGTGTGTGCCTGTCCTATAGATGCTTCTTCGCGAAGCGCAAAACCCCACCCTATTCTGGCTGGGAACCCTGGTACTTTCAGGCGCAATTCTTCCTGAGGTTGTACCTTCTGTCGGCCCAGGCACACAGCTGCAATGTGTCCTTGTTTTCCGCACGCCCTGCAGATAGCGGAGGGGAATTTGCAGTCGGTTCTCTTGTGGCGACCTCCACAGCCGATGCACTTGGGGAGACCTGAAGAGCTTCCTTTTTGTTTCCCTTCCTTTGTGGGGTGGAGACGGTCCACTTCCTCGTCAGGATCCTCCTCAGAGTTCCTTTGACTTCTTTCTGGTGCACGGATGCAGCATCTGGACTGTTTCTGATCGGCCGCATGTTCTTGATGGCGCTGCCCGCTGCTTCTTCTGCGGTGACCTCTCTCAAGGCATCTTGGAAAGACAAGTCCTCCTTGGCAAAAAGTCTCTGTTGTAACTCTCTATGCCTTAGTCCGCATACAAATCTGTCCCTCAGTCGTTCTTCGAGGTCCTTGAATTCGCAATGTTTGGCGGCTTTCCTCAATGAGGCGATGTACTCCTTGGCCGATTCTCCGGGTCGATGATCCCTCTGCTCGAAGGTGTGGCGCCACACGATGACGGACATCTTAGGCTGGAAGTGCTCCTTCAATAGCTTTTTTAGATCTGCGTAGCTGACAGACTCTAGAGGAACAGATGCTGCAAGGTTCTCAGCGATTTCGAATGCATCTTGACCACAAATGCACAGCAGGGTGGCAGCCTTTAAACTATCTTCCCTCACTTGGTTCACCTTGAGGTAGTTTTCCACCCTGGCTACGTAGGACTCCCACCTCTCTGGATGTGAGACGTCGAATTCCGAAAGCCTTCCAATTTTTGCCATTTTTGTAGAAGGAAGGGTCTATCAGCCAGCCTACCCCCGAATGCACGCTGGATTGGCGGGTAGCTGCCATGTCAACGCCGTTCCTGCCGCTCAGGACTCACTCGGGTAAGCTTACACCTTTTCGTTGATGTAAGGCAATCCCATCCTCGTCGCCAGTGTTGCGTCCTTCGCGAAATGGCAAGACACGAGAAGCAGTTGTAGTTCTCAGGAACTCTTTGTTCTTTAGTTCAGCTTACAGTTGGAAGACGCTGGCAATGCCCAAAACTCTCGACCTCTTTTATAGGCCTTTCCCGGGTCAATCTGCAACTTTTGGCATGCCAGCACTTGCGCATGCGCACAAGTATTGGCGACAGCCTGCCTGGTCCCGGGCAGCTTGCACCTGCCTGGGACCATTTGCAATGCCCCGAGCCTGCTTGCACAGGCTCAGGACATAACAATTATCATTATTATTATTATGAAGGGAGACGGGGAGTGACCCGGCCGAGGTTGTCCTATTTGCTCCCATTCAGCTTGGCGCCCTCCAGCCTCTTATCTTCCTAGCGTTGCCCGACGCCCACCCGGGAAGAGCAGGGTAACTCACCCAGCCGGAGTTTCGTGGAAAGACCGGCGTTCCGGCTCCTTTCCTCTCCCTAAAGAGTTTGGCGAGCGGCTGATAGCTGCGAGGGAGCAGAGCAAGTTCTTCTCTAAGGCCCGAGTTCAAAGGGGTTGCCGTTCTTCCTCTTCTTCCAAAACTCAGTTTTCGCTTCCTTAGACCATTTCAGGGAACCGCCTAGCTTGCACGAGCCTAATCTTTGCAGCTAGAGACGTCACAGCATCTCGGAGCATTTTTGTTTTTAAAGACTTCCAAACTTTTGTTTGCTGTAAAGAACGAGGGAGCTTGCTGGGGACGTTGCAGCCTGTGGAAATGTTAAATCTAAGGCATATCCCAGGCAATTATGTCCGATCTGATTTTTTTGTTTGTTTTGTTTTTTAAAAATGAGGCCTTTCTACTTAGTCCCCTTTGAATGTCTGGGGGTGGCGGGGGAAGGGTGGGGGGGCAGAGTAGCCCTGTACAAATTTATCAGAAAGCGTTTCCTCCTAAGTACAGCTGAGCTGATCAAGTAGCCAAGTAAAAGCCGGATCCAGAGGGAAGAAGGAGCACTTCGGAATTAGGCTTTGTTTCCAAAATCACAACGCGGTTGCTGCTGCCTTCTACTTTAGGAAACATTAGCTTAAAGTTTGCCCTGGATGCTTCTCTCCTTTGAACTGGCGTTCAGGACAGTCCCACCTTTTATAAACTGCCCTATTACGCCGTTCCTGGATGGTCTCCAGAAGTGCCAGGTGACCAAGAAAACGTGACGCATTTCTTTTAAATTCTAAGCAAGCCTTGTTTATGTTCATGCAGGACAGTATTTTGGAAATGATTGAGAAAAGCTGCTTCGGAATAGACGGGAATGTTAATGTGTGTTTTCTCAGCATTGTTGTGCAAGTCTGGGGAAAGCTTCAGCAGCTTTAAAAGAAAATAGAGATAAGGGTCATAGTTTTCCCACGTTATTCCCACTTCCCCTTTAGAAAAGCAGAAGGGAGAAATGACTGTGTGAATTGAAGAATTAAAAAAAAGAGATTTGCTTTAAAAAAAGAAATGCTTCTAAGAAGAAGAGAGATGCAAATTGGAGTGTCTTGGTAAGGTTGGAATAAATAATTATACCATTTTAACCTTTTGTAAAACTTACATCAGAAGCAATAAAAAAAATTCTGGAGTCCATCATAGACATAGATGTAAACAAGCTGAGAAGTTGGCTGGGCAAGTTGGCTACTTTCCTCCATTTGTTATATTATGTGTTTGTTTTGTGAAGCCCAGAATGGTGTTTCAGTAAAGTGTTTTTGAATGTTGTAATGTTCTTATCCCCACCCCCACCCCCACCCAAGATGGTCAGCAGAGAGCTTGTAAGAATGAACAAGAGTAGACTTTTGGTAAGTACATCTCTTCCTAGTCAAGAAAGCACCAGGATCAGTTAATTTACCTCTGGAGCCGAATTAATCCTCCATGTTTCCAGCTTAAACAGCTTTAAAATAAATGATAAATTTGCTTTCTGTGGAGTAAATTTTACACTGGAATGCCACAATCTCCTTCAGGTGAGCATTTGCTGGGTTTTTATAGGCTACAGGGGCAATGCTTTGAATATGTCTGATTTGCCTCTCATTGGAGTGATCACATGTCCTTTGCCCACTTGCCACAGTTGGGATGGAACTCTCTTACAAATTGGTACAGTCCTTCAATGTGTTGCCATGTCACCATGCTGACTTTCACCATCGGTTCTCTATGTGGTCATTAAGCAAATGGCACACAGTCCTTAAGCACAAATTCAGATTAATGTGACTTGCGACCTCCTGCTGGTTTCCCCATTGACTTCTGCTTGTCAGAAGCTAGCTGTGAAGGTTGGTAATGGGGACCACAGGCTGATGAAGTGACTGTAAACAGAGGCCAGCTGCCAAGCAAGCAAATTGTGACTGAGCCCTTTAGTGAGAACTGCATACAAAAAGAGCCAACGAGGTTAGCTCTATTAATATTGATAATCTCTGAGTTCAGTGATTTTCTGAAATTTGGGGAACAGACATGTCAAGAAATTGAACTAGCCAAGTGATCCCTTTCCTAAAGCAAAGCCTAAGAAACCAACAGCTACTAAATTACAGCTCAAAGCATCCTTCAGCAAAGGGCAGTTTACCCTGTGGCTGCAATTATGTGCAGTTCAACCTCTGGATCCCCAGATGTTTGGTTGAGTTTTTAAATACAACATGATGTAGAATGACCAAGATTCTGCTCCAATGGGGTATCGCTATAAAGATGTAGCATATCAAATGATCCTCAGCGATGTTGATCAGGATCCCAAAAATGATTCCAATAATTCGTATGAGTATTTGGGTGATCTGCAGCAACAATTTCAGCTTCAACCTTCAGTTACAATTCACACTGCATAATCAGATCAACAGGATGATGCAGCAGGAGAAACAAAACACATGACATACACTGTTAATTTAGATTTTATCCCCTCCCTTCTAAAAGACTTGCAAATGTATTTTATATTCTCTTAGCCACCAGCCAATAGGATGCACTACAGCAAGCAATTTCCTCCTTCTCCAGGCATAGATATTTTTACTTTCAACACTTTTTCTTATATTTATAAAGATTTTTTTTAAAGGAAGCTACTGTAAATACTAATAGAAGGGATTTGTTTCTGTTGATTTTATTTTTCTAGACCTCACGCTATAGGCCTCAAGATTACCTTAACAGAGACAGGTTATAAAGTTTGTAGATGTACATTATCTGGTCAGAATAACAAATGTTTCAAGAATGTTCATATGTGCACAACACAGAACAGAATAGGATGGATGGATAACCTTTATTGTCATTTTTTTCCTGTGGGCACAACGGCACACATTAAAAATAAAAATTCCTTGTAGAGGGGGGATCTGCAACCGTGACAACTTTAACACTTGTGGACTTCAGCTCCCAGAATTCCATGCCATGCTGGCTGAGGAATTCTGGGAGCTGAAGTCCACAAGTGTTAAACCTGTCAAGGTTGTAGATCCCTGTTATAGAGAACTCCGTTTCCCGGCTTCACATCCCTGGTTTCAGCAACCGAGTAGATGGCCCAGCGTGTTAGGCAAGGCGCGGGCGGTGCTTCAGGCTGGCCCTGCAGTGGAGAAACTCTTGGGGAATGGTGAAAGGGGACCCAGCAGCCTTAGGACAGGGATCCTCGACCCCTGGTCCGTGGAGCAGCACCAGTCCGCAGCATGCCAGCAAGAGGGTCGCACAAACAAGCAAAGCTCCACCCTCGGGATGCAGGCAGTATTCAAAACCACACCCGCTCTGGTCCAGGAAAAACCTTTCTCCATGGCACCGGTCCCTGGTGCCCAAAAGGTTGGAGACCTCTGTCTTAGGAAGCTCTTGAAGCTCTGCTTCAAGTTCCACCCCCCACAGCCTTATTGAGGCAGAATAAAACATTGGGGAATGGGGAATTAAAAGACAGGGAATGCATCTTTTATATGTCCTCTGTCTTTTTCCTTCCTTTCTATGGTCCCCAGCATTGCTAAATTTGCTGGCCTGAAGGAGCCGCACTTCTTGCAAAGCCCAGCATGGATTCTCCTGTGATCAGGGGCCCAGAGTCCTTGCCTTCCACTGCTCAGACTGCCAATCTTCCCATCCCAGTGAAGAACGTTTATCAGGGCGAACCTCTGGCCCTCGGGGGGAGTATGGAGATGAGCGGAATGACAGTGCCTCTCTTGTTAGAAATGATTCATATTTATATGTTACTTACATGTAAGGGTCTAGGACTAGGTTGTATACTACTTTTGAGGCACAGGATCCACTGCTGAACCAAAACCCAACGGAGCTGGAAACACAAGGGTGACTCAGCCTTCCATCCTTCCGAGGTAGGTAAAATGAGGACCCATATTGTTGGGGGCAATGTAAATATATATACATTGCTTAGTGGTGTACACTGCTTAGAGAGAGCTCGCACTTAAAGCGGTATATAAGTCTCATAAATAAATAAATAAACACGCAGATGCTAAGCAAACAAAAACAAAAACAAAAACCAACAACTCAAACGTCATCGATCTTAAAATTCCCAAAGGCTGCTGCATCGTCCGAGTGCAGCTTCTGCTTCGGACGAAAGTAGCTCTGGCTGTTTGCAGTCAATGAAACACTGGCAGGAATCACATTCTGATAAATGACGACAACCTAAAGAAACATATAATGAGATTTTAAGCCAGTTGTTTCCATGCATTTCTCATTCCACAGTTCACAATACAAATTCTCAGCTTGCCAACAGCTTCTTGAATGCTTCTCTCTCTCCTTGTTTCAAATAAGGCTCAGAAACACTTTTGGTTCCATTGCCAAGAGGAATCTGGATAAAGACATCACTTCCTCTCTTTAAAGCAACTGCATCCTTTTCTGGTTTTACATGGCTGGTGCTGCTTCCCCAGAAAGAAATGCTTCATATGCTCTCACGCATTGTTTTTTTTTTTATTGAAAATTTTTATTTTTTAAAACATACAATCATTTATAAAAATACAATAAAATTTTAAAATAGAGAACCCCCCCCTTACCCTCCCTCCCACCCCCACCCCCCCTCCCTTCACTTCCCAGAGCAGAATACAGGGTTAAGAAAAAAAAAGAAAAAGAAAATTATAATAATTAAAAAAAAAGAAAAAAAAGAGAAAGAAAAAAAATATCATAATTAACCTTTAACTCCATAACTTATAAAACAATTCTCTATAATATTTGATATTCATTCATAAAATAAATAAAACTTTTTAATTCCATATTTTTTCTGAATATAATCTATCCACCTTCCCCATACAGTAATATATCTTTCTTGTGTATGATCCTTTAAATAAGCAGAAATTTTTGCCATTTCTGCAAAACTAGATACTTTAAATATCCATTCTTCTAAAGTAGGCAAAGAATCTTTCTTCCAATATAGACCTACTAGTAACCTTGCTGCAGTTAATAAATTCAACATCAAAGTAGTTTCTTTTTCATTTAAGTCAACAAAAATACCAAGTAAAAATAGTTGAGGAGTAAACTTTATCTTCTTTCTAAAAATCTTTTGAATGTTCCACCAAATCATAATCCAAAAAGCCTTTACTTTTTTACAATTCCACCAAATATGAAAGTATGTCGCATCATTATTGCCACATCTCCAACATTTGGGCTGTATGTTGGAATACATACAAGATAATTTTTTAGGATCTAAATGCCATCTATAAAACATTTTATAAAAATTTTCTCTCAAATTTTGAGCTTGTGTAAATTTAACATTTCTTATCCAAATTATCTCCCATAAATCCAATGAGATCGGCTCCTGTATATTCTGAGCCCATTTAATCATACAATCTTTAACCAATTCTGTTTCCGAATCTAACTCTAATAAAACATTATATATTCTTTTTATATGAGCCGGACCTTGGTTTTTAATCTGAATAACCAATTGTCTATCTTCTAGTGTTATTCCCTCTTTCTTGTCTACAGTCCATCTATCCATTATTTGTAAATATTGAAACCATGACTGTAGAATATTTTGCTGCCTTAATACATCTAGGGATTTCAAATGCCAATTCGAACCAGAACAAATTAACAATTCTTTATATGAAATTTTATCAAAATTTGTCCCCTTAGAGGTTCCCTCAATTGCATGTCTGGGAATCCCCCAGATAGGTATTTTATAATTTAATGT